AATTTATTTAAACTACAATACAATGGATGGAGAATGGGAGTGGGGAGCATTGGAGGAAATCACCAAACTCCCTCTGTCTAATAGTAATGTAGCTAGTATTGACCCTTTACTTCTAATTATTTGTCAACAAATATATGCAGCCATATGCTCAGCGTTACATCATAGGCTACTGAAGAGCAAATGAGGGTTGGGGACTCAAACTCACAATTTATACTGGGTACTGACCATCTCCAAAAAGCTCAGTCGCAAATAGTTCATGGAGCACATTTTGACAAGAAATGTTTTCAGTCCAAAGATTTAGACCAGTTCTAATCACTAAAGCACCATAAGCATTTATAAGTCCATACTGTCCATACTGTCCTTTACACCACTCTGGCAATGTAAAGGAGCCTTAAAATTTTTACACCTGTTTTATACTCCTGCGGGAATTCACTAAGAACAATGATAATAATTCACTAAAGAGGCAGGCTGCTACATTCTCCTCTGCATTGCCAGGGAGTAGGTACATGACCACTCTTGTAGCTTCCGTTTGCTTCCCCATCAAAAGTCATTTCTCTGCAGGTATGCAAAAAAATCTGCGGGGGCCATGAATTCTGCGCACACGCAGTGACGCAAAATTCCCCCAGAAGCAATTGTGTGTCAATGCAGGTAATATATCTGCACATATTGGTCTGGTTCTAAGCCAAAGTCCATTAACACCTTTTACTCCTCTGTAATTGCTGCACACTTGTTTTTGAAGGGATACAAATCCTACTTTGGGCAATAGCTTCAACAGGAGTGCTTGACCTCATTGGTGAGCTATTGGATCCCAGCAACTGTACACAAATAGAGAAGACTGGGAGGAAGAAAAAAAAAGGAAAGAAAAGCAGCAGCAAGCATTTGGGGATTCCCATTCTCAGATCATTGGCAGTGCTCTCTCACACACCCCACCGTGCTCTACAATATGTGTTATCCAGTTCCCTCCAATCTGTACCAATATAATTGTCACAGGAAAACAAGGATGAATAGACAATTATGGAGTTATTGGGCTTAATCTTGCCCTGCAACAGCAGCATAAAAAGGACTTTAAACTGCCTTAAGCAAGCAGTTGAGAATTCCTGCAGCATGAGGGCATGTAGGTGGCATGACGGGAAAGCCAGGAGGTGGGACCAGAATGCACAGAGTTCTACCTGATCCTCAGCCAATTGAATGACTCTAATTGACATAACCCTCTGGCTGCTCTAATGTATATCAGGGACCAAAGCAGACCCAGGATAGAAGGGTGTGGAAACGTGGCATAACTGTACCTCTGCCACCTCTTCTCAGCCCTCAAATGGGGCCAGATCTCAGATGCACCTGAGGATGGAGCCTGTTAATCCTCCTTTTCCTGTTGTGGAAATGTATAGACAGTGGAAACCACTTTCCATGTGTCTGGTTAAAATAAACTAGAGGAAGTTGTGATGCTCAAATGGAAGGATGAGCTACAGTAAAAATAACCTCTAACATGTAAGCAAATGCATGAAAAGTAATAGTAAGTATTATTTCTTTTTCTACATCTAACTTCATATTCTAAGTTTATCTAATTTAGGTTGAAAGCTCTTCAGAGCAGGGACTATGTCTTTATATATAGACCAAGTACTGATTTTGCCCCAGATCCCTAAGTAACCCCCTCAAGGATTGAACTCACAACCCTGAGTTTAACAGGCCAATGCTCAAACCACTGAGCTATCCCAATCACTCAGAAGTGCATTGCAAAGCTATTTATAATAAAAGTATTTTGGTTCTGAACCTGCCTTTGAAATCAGCCTTGATTTCTTTTGAGGACACTAGAGCAAATACGGTGCCACAGTTACAGGGCCAGCTGCACCTCTGTCCCCTTTGTGGTCTCTCTGAAGGCACCCCCTCAGGTGTCAGCCCTTTACCTATCATCAGGTGGAATTCCACCAGTCTCCTGCTCTTAGTGCTGGGCTGCAGCCAGCACCATGGGCTCCAGCACCCTGTTGATCAATCGTGCTTACCCCGCAGGTCCAAGAGAATCCAGATTACAGTGATTCTTCCCTTTGGGAGTCTGCAACCAGTGTTGTGCAGTGACCAGACAGGCTTCTTGAAATCAAAGTACTGTTCATTTTAACAGTAAGAAAAAGCATTAGAGAAAGAGGATTTTAAAACAACACGCAGGCTACACTCATGTCTATGTTACCTAAAGCCCTGCCATTCCCTGGTGGCAATCTAGACAGGGCAAACTTTTTCCAGACACCGCAGCAGGTGCTTACATCTTAGTCCAATTCCCCAAAATATCTCCCAATCTCTTGAGAGAGAGTCCCTTTTAATACAGCCAGAGTTCCGTTGTTCTTGTGAGCTCCTGGGCTTTGGCCTTGCTCATCAAAATTAGTTCTCTAAGTTGGCTGGAGTCAGGAAGTAGAGAATTTTCAACGTTCATACTTCAGACATTGTCTCTTAAGTGTTTACTGAGGGGTGACTTGTCTTGAGACATTCAGAGATTCCAAGGCCAGAAGGGACCATCTGATCATCTAGTCTGTCCTCCTGCGTAACATGGGACTTGAAACAACTCCAAAATAATTCCTAGAGTGTGTCTTTAATAAAGCATCCAATCTTGACTTAAAAAATTGTCAATGATCAGCCATCACACTTGGTAAATTGTTCCAATGGTTAATTACTTTCATTGTCAAAAATGTATGCCTGATTTCCAGTCTGAATTTAGCTTCAACTTCCAACCATTGGATCAGATTATACTTGTCTCTGCAAGACTGAACAGCCCATTATCTAATCAAACTGTAATCAAGGAACCCCTTAACCTTCTCTTTGTTAAACTAAATAGATTGAGCTCCTTGAGTCTATCACTGTAAGGCAGGTTTTCTCTTTTTGTAATTAGAGTTTTTTAATTTAAGTAATTTAATTTAATTAATAATTTTTAACTATGGCTTTTCTCTAAACGCTCTCCAATTTATCAACATCCTTCTTGAATTGTGGACACCAGAAGTGGACACAGTATTCCAGTAGTGGTTGAACTGGTGCCATATACAGAGGGTAAAATACTTCCCTCCAGCTACCCGAGGTTCCCCTGTTGTAGGCAGCCAAGGCTCACGCTAGCCCTTTTAGCCACAGTGTCATACTGGGAGCTCATGTTCAGCTGATTATCCACCCTAACCCCAAAATCTTTTCCAGTAACAACTTCTCAGGATACAGTTCTCCATGCTATAAGGGGGAAAGGATGGGGGGAGGGATAACTCAGTGGTTTGAGCATTGGCCTACTAAACCCAGGTTGTGAGCTCAATCCTTGAGGGAGCCACTTAGGGATCTGGGGCAAAATCAGTACTTGGTCCTGCTAGTGAAGGCAGGGGGCTGGACTTGATGACCTTTCAGGGTCCCTTCCAGCTCTATGAGATTATAATATATATATGGAGATATACCTAAGTGAGTATGGCCTCCATTCATTGTTCCTTGACATTTACATTTAGCTATATTCAAACATATATTGTTTGCTTTTGTCCAGTTTACCAAGCAATCCAGAGCTCTCTTTCAGTGACCAGTCCTCTTAGTTATTTACCAGTCCCCCAACTTTTGGGTCATCTGCAAACTTTATCAGTGAGGATTTTGTGTTTTCTTCCCAGTCATTGATAAAATAGTTAAATAGCACAGAGCCAAGAACCAATCCCTGATGGACCTCATTAGAAACACACCCGTTCAATGATGATTCCCCATTTACAATTACATTTTGATAACTTATCAGTCAGCTATTTAATGTGAGCTGTGTTAATTATATATCATTCTATTTTTTTAACAAAGTCGTACAGTTCCAAGCCAAAAATGGCTTACAGAAGTCTATTACATCAACACTATTACCCTTATCAACCAAACTTGTAATCTCATTTAAAAAAAAAAAAGATATTCTTTCCCTTCCTGCTTTTTTTCCCTGAAAAATTCTTCCTATTAAACTAAATCAACATATTTACACAGAAAACATATATAACCAATAACCAGGTCAACATACATTGTTCATGTTATTACAGAACAGCTCCAGCACCGTCAAATATGTCACTGAAACAAATTAAGGTTAAGAGTCAACCCTCCTTCTCCATTAGTTTGGAAATTCTCAGTTAAGGTGCCCAAAGGAAAATTTTATTCTGCCCCTCCTATTCCCAATCCCTCCAATCCTGGGCCAAAGGCACAAGGTGGCCAAGCAGTGATTTCCATCTGGTGGCCTTAATGAAGTCAGTTTGTCTCAGTCCAGATGCCATTGAAAATATATTTCTGTCCCCCAAGATCTCAAATGGACTACATATTTTTGGAGGCAGTTTTAGAAGAAAGATTAAGGGAGCTTGACTCACCCTCTCAGCTGGCATCTCTTGGTCAATGCTGGGATACATTGGTGGAGGGTTTGGTGGTAGAGTCGTCCATTACCTGTACTCTGTACCCACACTATTTTCAGGACTTCTGGACTCATAGCTAGAAATGGGGAGAGAAGACGCTTCACTTGCAAAGCACAAAACAAGTAAGTGAATTAGTATCAGGCCAGAAGGCCCGGACAGGCTGCTGTGTGCAGCACAGGGAGTTCTTTAGCTTTCTTCTCTAATGAAACTAAAAGCCCAACTATATTAGCATAATCTAGATAGTCCATAGAAATCTGGCACTTGAACCACACAAGAGGACCAAGGACTTCACATACACTGAAACCATCTGGCAAATATTTGCAGCTAAAAGGTAAATTCTGTTTCACAGCTTGATGGGAGGAACAGCTTGGAATGCTGCGTAATAAGGGTTTTAACCTGACTTGCACAGTGTCAGGTCAGCAGCTTGTCTTCCATGGGAACCCCAAGATGTATTATTACATGCCTGTTAAATTGCCAGCCAGGGTTAGAGCACTCAGTGCACAAAATGCCAGAATCAACTATCAGAGTCCTTACGCCTTGCTCTATTTGAGTTTATAATTCTCAGTGTGCTGCCTGGTTCTCACAGAGCTCCTACACAGTGCAGGCACTTCCTGGCCAAAACTTACCCCAGTGCACTAGGCAAGCACTTTTCAGATTCAAACCCCTCTGTTCGTACAAATGGTAACAAATACAATAAAAACTTCTGCAGCTTTTACGGGCTCTTATTGTTTAAATGTTACTCCACAAACTGAGGTAAACAAACATGCACTTTAGAATCATTATGGACAGTAATAGTTATGAGCTGACCTTCACAAGCCATCTATGCCTTTAAGTACAATTTAATTTCTATCTTCTGGCCAATAGCAAAGGTTACATTTTGTAGGGTTTTGCCACATAATTACATGGAAGGCTCTTAATCTAGATTCATTGGGGGTGATTACCTACCTGATTACAGTGAAGCAAATCAGCAGCAATTGCACTGAAGTCAGTGGAGTTATACTGCTGTAAAACCAGAATGAGAAGAGTCTCAGGCTCACTGACTCCTACCCCACCCTCTGGGAAATTTCATAGGTATTCAAAAGAGAGAGAGGCAAGTAAATATGTTAGCTGAAGAGCTAAGGAAACTTCTTCTTAGCATATGCACAACATGCCTCTGGGGGCACGTGACCAGGATTCACCACCGAATTTGGTCAGCTGGTTGAATCATTAGCTTCCTCGGCCTGGGCTGGGTACTGACAGGGAGTGCAATGTGAATGCTGATCCATGCACCCCTAAGGCATCTTAGAACATGAACTGTACAGATGACAGGGACTGGATGGCTCAGGGACATAACTCATCAGTTCAAATGTGGCTCCAGTTAGAGATTAGAAAGTCATTCCCATGTGAAGGTTGTTCAGTGACCTATGTCAGATGAGTTGGTGGACTCAGTCGAGATCCCAATCAACGGGTCCACATCCCCTCCCCGCCAAATACCCCATGACAACTGATGTTTGATATTCACATGCAAAAGCTTTTGTTAGCATGAAATTCAGGTTGCAGGTACTCAACAGTTCCCATGCCCTTCCACACTGTGAGGGTTTAATATCCAAAACACATGGCATTGACACTTGCCACCCAACATGGGCCTGGTCCCCATGGGGACTGTAATAGTACCTGAGAAATTGAGAAAATAACTCTATTTTATCCCTCAGTAACAAAACCTGCCATTTTCTCTGTGCTCCTCACAATTCCAAATCAGTACTCTTATTGACACAGCACAGCGGATCCTCACAGTGATCCATGCAGCACCATTGATCTGGGGAGTACTTGGTGGTGGCAGAGATCACACTGGACAAAGGCGCTGAGGGAGGGTTCAGACACAGTGATCTTCCTGAAGAATGGTTTATTAAAAAGGGCAGAGTTAAGGTTGTGTGGGAGTGTCACCTTACCTGCACATTTCCAGGTTTTTCATCATTTGAGTTTTGGGAATTAAGCTCTCATGGTCTCATGCAGAGCTGAACACACTAAGTACCTGCATTCTTATTGCCATGTTAACAAAGTTTTTACGAGTGAATATGCACCAGGTTGACATTTGATTACTAAAATATTTGCTGATCCCTATCTGCAGTATGAGTGATGCGTGCCAGTCAGAGAAGCCTAACGCAGTTCAAGAGCTAGTGGCTGTGGCGATACTAGAGAATAGAATTCTGAAGCAAAGACAGATCCCTGGGTTGTTGGTTTGTGACACATGACCAGGGCCGGCTCTAGGCACCAGCGTCCCATGTGCTTGGGTGGCCCTTTTCAAGGGGCGGCACAACAGCTTTTTTTTTTTGCTTGGGGCGGCAAAAAACCTGGAGCCGGCTCTGCACATGACTCAAAATGCTTCTCAGGATTATTAATAATTTCAAAGCAAGTGGAGTCCAAGCTCAGGGAACAGAATGCAAATCTGGACTGTGCTGTAGAGGGGTTGAGTTCTCGCTTGTCCACTTTATAGTTTCAAGGAGTACGGACTAGGTCCAAAGGAATTGGATTGGATCGAAATTCCACCAAATTTCAAATGAGTTAGATTGGGTCGCAATAGATGATGGGAAATTCCAGTCTTGATCTCTCAAATTAACTATGTCAGATTCAAGTAAGACAGTGGTTTTCAAACTGGGGTACATGGGCTCTCATCAGGGGATCCATGAGAAAAATGCTGTAATGGTGGACAACGTATTTTATTTCGTACAGAAGTTTTCAAACCATGGTGCGTGCCCCCATAGGGGGTGTGGAGGAATATTCAGGAGGGCAAGCGGCTCAGCTCAATTGAGCTACAATTTTTGGTTGTGCCCCTCCCCCCCCAATCCAGGCAGGCAAGGTGGCCTGCTGAAGTGAGTCAGGGGGCGGAGGTGGTGCTCCCTCTCTGAGTTGCCTCCTCCCCCAAGAGTTCCTCCACTCCCTGCTGGGGGGGGGGGGGTGCACCCCACAGTAGAAAACCTCTAGAGCTGTTGCTAAATGGAAGGCTGAAATCTGGGGAGGAGGCACACGTCACCTCTGCCTATCTCAGATGGGGGTACACAGTAGACATTATTTGGAAAGGAGTATGCAGCCTAAAACGTTTGAAAACCACTGAAGTAACAGATAAACATCTGGGGGAGCTTGCCAAAAGCAAAGGGACATGAAGATCTACCAGCAGAAGCTTCTTGAGCTGCTCTAGCTCCCGTGTCTACTCTTAATGTTCAAAATTCCATGTCATGGTGCTGGCCTTCTGGCATATGTGCCTCACTGTAAGCTCAGAAGTGAGGGGCATGATATAAGACCAATGTATGAGAAATATATAAGTTGCATGTATTCAGGACATTACAGCCACTTTAGGAGAAAGGCAGATAAGTGCTACCTCAGTCAAATGGCTTCCAAAACCCAAAGCCAAACAGCCCCCACTGTCACTTGAAACTAATCATTTGTCATTTTGGCCTCCCCACCCCCTCCCCCCATCATGCGTGGGAAAAGTTCTCAGGATGAGATTTGTCATTTTCTTCTGCTAGATTCTAATTTATGTAGTTCTGGAATAGTTTCACATAGTCTCTACTTCCATTGTTAAAGCTGTTTATACTGGGAAAACATTCCCAATCCCCAACTGGGATATATATTTATAGGCACATGTGCGCACATACACACACAATTTGTTTAAAATATCCTTTCCCCCTAAAATCTCCTCCCTGGCTCCAGCACAGCATTTCCTCAGTGGTATCCTACCCTGCCTTTGAAAACCTGTTCCAATGAAAAAAAAATCCATCACCCATCTCTTTGGGAGGGATTCTCTTCTCACACCAGTCTGATACCAGTGTAAGTTGTGACGTTGACATAAACTGTGACTGTATAGATCATTGTTGCAACCACTGTTATATATTTGCAGCAAATATTGTACAAAGGTTGTTGTGTGAGGTGTCTATAAAAAGGTTATGATTTGCTGGTGATGATTATGCTATCTGTATGTGTGTATCATTTTTGTAGTTGAAGTTATGAGTATTGGCTATGTACTTAGAATCAAAACACATTGAGATACAAGTAGCCTCAGTGAATCATTTGGTCAGCTTCTTGAGAAAGGACTATTCTCAGTAAGTGCCCAATGAAGAAACACTTAACTGACAATGAACTTTGGGAGATGCCAATCCACATCTGAGCTTTCCTGGGAATGTTCAAACTAACATGTAAACAATAGCGTCGGCCTCTAAAGAACTGAGTCATGCATGAACATGTGACTTGCCCATGTGACTCCAAACTCCATCTTGCTGCTGTGATTTTCCACAGTAAGAACAAAAGGGTGTTCTTCCACAGGGCTGAGAATATAAAAGGCCCTGAAAACTCCTCCATTTTGTCTTCAATCCTGCTTTTTACCTCTTGAGGAACTTTGCTACACTGAAGCTCTGAACAAAGGACTGAATGACCCATCCAAGCTGTGTACTCCTGAGACTTGATTTGAACCTGCAGTTTATTCCATCACTGCTACAAGCCTGAACCAAGAACTTTGCCATTACTGTATGTAATTGATTCCATTTAACCAATTCTAGCTCTCATCTATATTTCTTTCTTTTTATGAATAAACCTTTAGATTTTAGATTCTAAAGGATTGGCAACAGCGTGATTTGTGGGTAAGATCTGACTTGTATATTGACCTGGGTCTGGGGCTTGGTCCTTTGGGACTGGGAGAAACTTTTTTCTTATACTGGGGTATTGGTTTTCATAACCATTCATCCCCATAACAAGTGGCAATGAGGGAAATACTGGGAAACTGGAGTGTCTACGGGAATTGCTTGTATGACTTCTGGTTAGCCAGTGGGGTGAGACCGAAGTCCTCTCTGTTTGGCTGGTTTGGTGAGCCTTAATAGTAAAGGAAACCCAGCCTTGGGCTGTAACAGCCCTCTTCTAAGCAATTTGTCCTGAATTGATACACTCGGTTGTGTCCCGCCAGAGGCAGCATTGTTACACAAGTCCACTGACTTTATTGGAGATACTTCTGATGTGTGCCAGTGTGAGAGAGAGTGAACAGGTGCTGCGTCTCCAATACCTCCATGTCTTCCTTTGAAAATAATTCGAGGATGATGCTCTATTCTGGCT